TCATTCAAATGTTCCTAATATCTCACATTTACTCTATGCTGATGATATTCTGATTTTTCATGATGCTTCTCTTAAAATGGTTAAGAAGGTCAAAAACATCTTATTAGAGTATTGCAGTTGGACGGGTCAAAACATAAACTTTGATAAATCTGTAGTTCTTTTTGGAAATTCAGTGAAGAAGAGGAAGAAAAAAGTGATATCTCGATTAATGGGTTTAAGAGTGGTTAAGGAGATGATTTACTTGGGAGTGAAGATTGCATTAAGAAGGCTTGGAGTTGATGATTATGGGTTTCTTATTCAAAAGATGTTGGGTAAACTTCCAACTTGGAGCAACAAGTATATTTCATTGTCGGGAAGCTAACTTTAGTAAAATATGTTATTCTATCTCTTCCTTCATTTCAAAGTACTCACTCTCTCGTTCCTCTGAGCATTCTTTCAGAGTTGGATAGAATGTGCAGGGACTTTATATGGCATAAACAGGAAGGTAATTTGGGAATTCATTATGTAAGCTGGGATGTTCTTTGTTTGCCTGGTAAATTGGGTGGCGGTGAACTTCACTCTTGCATGAATAAGGTTGGCCCTTCAAGAGCTAAATTCGCTTGAAAACTTCTTAGTGGTTCTTCTTCCTTACTGTATCAAGTTATGGCTACTAAGTATGGGATGTGTAATTAGAATACCCAAACTAAGAAAGGTGTTTCTTTGGTTTGGAAAATTTTGTTGAAAGGTTATAAGGCTATTGCTCCGATTGTTAAATGGAAGGTGAAGGATGGAAAATCTATCAATGTGCTCAAGGATTTTTGGTTGATGGATAAATGTCTTATTAGGTGGCCAACTTTTGTTTCGATCAATTTGATGGATGACACAGAACTTGATAAATTCATTACTCATGGAAGCTGGAACTTAGAAGAATTGAAGACTTGGTTTGGAGAAGAATTGGTTACTATTATTTCTCAAATTCAAATTTATTCTGATCTTACAAAGGATAGTTTGGAGTTGATTCATTTTCAGACAAGGAAAACACTTTCTGTTGTTATTTCAAAAGTTAATGCTTCAGGTGATTTAATGGGAAGAGATATCTATTGGAGTTGGCTTAGAAAACTCAAACTTATGCCACAGGTGGAAATTTTTTTGTGGAGAATTTTTCATGAAGCAATCCCAACAATTGTTGTTTTGATGAATAGAAGATTGAGAACGGATGATGCTTGTCCTATGGGCTGCTTAAAGACGGAAAACATCATCCATGTGATGGTTGGATGCTCCAAACTGTTGTCAGTATTTGCTTCTTTAAAGGAATGTTGTATTTGGATGGAAAAAAATACTGGCAAGAATTCTCTTCTTGTAAAATTATATTGCACTTCGGTTTTCCTGAATTGGAAATAGAGGTGTAAACATGTTCATGGAGTAAAGGAAGACTATTATTTGTAAATAGCTTCTCAAATTATTTCTCTTGCTTCTTTTGTTGATAAAGGAGCTTTGAAATTGGGCTACTGGGGTGCTAATCAGCCTAATAGGCTGTTGATTAAGAGTTGGCACCCTCCCCCGCCCGGTTGGCTTAAAGTAAATGTGGATGCTTCTTTGATTCTTTTCTATGAGGCTACTGTATGTGGAGTATTCATATATTTTAAAGGAATATTTCTTTTGGCCTTTAGTTTCAAGGGATTGCATTGGGATGTTGCTCTGTTAGAGTTATTGGCTATTCAAGCGTTAAAGGTCATTCTATAAAATTGGATGTTAGATTATGAAGGAGTTATTATTGAAGGTGACAAAGCAAATGTCATTAATTTTCTTCATAAGCTTAATAAAGATTCATCCATGATGTTGATTACAAATGTGATGGAAGAGATTGATTTCCTCAAAGAATTCAAGAATGTTATTTTTAGTAGAGTGAGCAAAGATTGTAATAAGTTAGCTAATATGTGTGTTAATATTGTTCATAGTAGTAATTTTGTTTAGAATAATTGTAGTTGAGATTCTATTCCTCCTTTTTTTATTAGCTTGCTAAAGGAGGAAAGTGATCCCTTTCTTAGTTTGTAATCTCTTTTTCTATTAATAATATTGCTTATGCATCTTTCAAAAAAAAAAACATAACAAACAAAAACAAATCTTTTAGAACATAAATAACATATAAATTAATGCAAATATAATATGAACATATTCAATTTAAATACAAATACAACCAGTCAAACACATTCTCCCCCTTTGACATTATCAAAAAGCAGAGAATCAGAAAAAAAATAAAACATAATACACATAACACACTAAAGATCATATGGATCTTGATCAGGTGGAGATGATGGTGATGTTTATGAAAAATCAATTAATTTCAGCAAATTTTCTTGAAATGAGAAAGTTATCTCTTAATTTTATTAAAAAGCTTAATAAATGAATTGACTGCACTAAGATCCATAAAAGTTGGCAATTTGAAAGAGTTCGAGAGAATCCATCAAGGATGTATGACCTATTCGAGGTTGTATGTCAAAGCCCTACTCGATGACGTTAACCTATATGGAAGAGGTCGAGAGAATCTACTAATGATGTATGACCTATCCAAAGTTGTATTTTAAAGCCCTGCTAGATGACGTTAACTTATGCAAAAGAGGTCGAATCGAATCCCCCAGTGATCGATTTTGCCTTGATTGGGAGGTGGCGAACACCGCACGTATCCGAATCAAAGGTGAAGAATGGTCTATCTTTAGACTGACATTGTCTTCTTAAGGTCGAGATTAAGACCTTGCCCAAGGAGTAGAAGTCTGGCTAGGGACTGTATAAAGCTTGAAATTTTTTAAAGAATCATTACATTTGCTTGAAGATTTATGATCTCAAGATATCGTCTTAAATATTGAAAGAGTTTGAGGAATATTCTTGATCATGGTTGTGGTCAAGGTTGCCCCCTAGTCGGCATTTAATTCTCATAAAATTAATGCAATAATAATTGATGCAAGGACGTTGATATGAACATCCTTTTGAGGTTGGAGCAAAAATTTCCCCCAGTCAAGAACCACAATCCCACATATGGCGCCAAACTATTACGTCTCGGAATATTCGCAGCGACTAAGAAATATAAAGTTTAACGTCTTAGCGTTATACAAAGATCCAGTATGCTATCAGATAAAAAGAGATGGTGCATCATTTATAAGAGACACTAAGATTTTTACATGGAAAACCTTGAAAAGGGAAAAAATCACGGGGTCTGACCCAATTTGAATGAATCCACTATTATTTGTGATCGATTACAAATGAGGCCCTTTCTTGGGGGAAGACCTTGGCTTGATATATATCATATGAAGTACATTACATGGTGGGAATACAAAGAATCACTATTGACATGTTCGTTTAGTCAGAATGATCATAGTTGATGGGCGATGGAGGTCGGAAAGATCGTTGTCTAATGACTGAGGTAGGAAGGACCGTAGTCAGCGAGCGACGAAGAACGAAAGGACCATTAACTGGCGATGGATGTCGGAAGGACCGTAACTAACCGTAGTTGGCAGGCGATAAAGGTCGGAAGGATCGTAGTCGGCGGGAGACAGAAGTTGTAAGGATCGTAGTTGGCAGATGACAGTGGTTAGAAAGACAATTATCGGAGGGCAATGGAAGTCCGACATCAATTGGAGGCCATGCAAAAGTCCGGCGGTAGTTGGTGGCCGGGTAGAAAAACCAGCATCAGTTGGCGGTCGAGTAGAAGTCTGATATCAGTTGGTAGCTGAATAGAAGTTTGGCGTTAAGTATGAGTCTGTAGACAAGTGAAAGTCTAGCATCAGGTAGAAGTCTGGCAACTAGAGGAAGTTAAACGTCGGGTAGAAATCCGACGACTAGCGGAAGTCCGACATCGGGTAAAAATCCAGCGATGGGTGAAAGTCCAATGCCAGGTAGAAGTCCGCTGAAAGTCCGGTGACAGGAAGAATTCTGACGACGGGCGAAACTTCAGCATTAGATGAAAGTTTGACAAAAGATGTTGGATGGGCAGAACTCCGACGTTAGTTGGTGGTCGGGTAGAACTCCGACGTCGGTCGACTACTGGGTGAAACTCCGGCGGTGGTCGAGGAGTCTCTTCCTTTTCTTCATTTTCTTTTTGCTTTCTTGCTTAATTCCAGCGTCAGTTGGCGATCGGGCAAAACTCCAACGTCGGTTGGCAGTCGAGTAGAAATCTAGTGGTGGTCGAGGAGGAGTTTCTTCTTTCTCTTCTTTTTCTTCATTCTCTTCTTGCTTAGGCCTCCTTCCTCCCTTGGGGGATCCCTTTCTATGAGAAATAAGGTGTCTATTTATAGTTTTCTGAGATTGGCATGGCCAGTAAATAGTAGAAAGATCAAGGGTAATTTGGAAGTGGTTTGGTTTGAATGAACGGCCTATATTGAATCTTTTGATCGTGGACCGTTTAGTAGGCATTTGAAGGCCCTAAAGATATCACAATTCAATGATGTTAGGCTCGTTAATTATAAATATATAAACTATTAAAAAAAATGATGTTAGGCTCGTTGGATTCATCTCATCGAGCTGCTCGATTCAACTATAAGCATATCACGTTTGGAAACCGTTTGATAATCCAAATTATAGTTTGAACCTTCTAAATGCACTTCGGATATTTGATTTGGACTCATTTAGGCTCAGATTGAGTTGAATTTTGTATCGCTGGGTTCATATTTTCGAGACGTTCAGTTCGACTATAAGTTTACTAAAATCAGAGTTCATATGGTCTCTAATTAAATTTTTGAAGTTTCCAACTCGTTTTTTGCCTCGAGATTTGTTCTTGATCAAGATAATTTTTTGATGATATATCAACAATATTAAATCATAGAAGGCAATATGAAGGGTATAGAAAATTTAATGATCATAGTTTGTGTAGACCATAAATTTCTATAAAAATTACCAGTTGAACTGCATTATATTGCATCATATAAGGTAATATTTAATCATATAGACAATATAAAGGTTACTGGAATTTTTTTTAGCATAACTTCTGTATACCATGAATAAGAAACAGAAGGTCAAAATGCGCTCACCTCAGCTTGCATCCCTGCATGCCGCCGAACCCCTATTGCATCGTACATCACAATAAGACTAAATCCTAGGCAAACAGGGAAAAGCGAGTCCCCAACTCCATGCCAAAAGGCTACAGACGCCGTCAGCGCCATACATAGAGCAGAATGAGACGAAGGCATCCCACCGCAGCTGAAAAGAATCCCCATATCCAACTTCCTCTCCACGAAGAAATGCAAAGCCACCTTCATGGTCTGAGCAAGCGCCCACGCCAAAAGTCCAGAGACGAACGTTGGGTTCCCCGCCAATGTCCACAGGAAAGGACTCGCCCTTGCCTTAGAAACTGCAGCCGCGGTGGTACTCATTAGTAGCGCGCCGACGCCGCCGCTACACACATAATCGCCGCCATAGTGATCTCCCACGGCGACGCCGCCACAAAGGCAAGATCGGACAAATACGCTGAAGGAGTTGAAGAAGGGGAGGATGACGCAAATGGGGGCGAGATGAGGAGAATCGTGTCGGGATTCTAGGGTCTTATGCGACGAGGGCTTTGGCGAAGTGCCGATATGGAATGAGAGGTGAAGGGAGGAGGTATGGAAGACGAACGGTTTTGTCTTATGGCTTTGAAGGTATGGGATGGGAATCGAAATCTGGTAAAAGGCCCTCAGAGCGGCGGCCGCCATGGCCGCAATGCGTCGCCAGCTTGTAGAAGGAGGAGAAAAAGAGCAACGAGAGTTTTGAGAAAGAGAGTGAGGGAATCGAGTGGCCCGAAATTTTGCCAGTTGTTAATATAATCATAGTTTTTTTTTTGTGTGTGGGGGGATTTCGAGGCAGAGCCAATAGATTAATAATCAAAACCAATTACAAAGAAGATTAAAATATAAAATAAAAAATCTGTAAGAAAAAAAGAAGTAAATGAAAAAACATCAAAAAGAGCTAAAACCATCACCACAATCCGATCACCAAAAAAAATAGTGAAAGAGATGATGCTCAAAAAGGACTCAAAGGAATAGGCCATTACCTAAAAACATCATATAAGTCTCAGATGAACATTTGGATAAGTGAGCATGAACTGAATTGAGGATTCTCTGGTTGTCACAGGCCAAAGACAATGAAGATGGAAGGCGGGACCATCACAGAGCCCCAACATCTAGGCAAAACATCAAAATTTCATGGTTGCCATAAGACCATCTATAGAAACAATGGCGAGGTGAAGGCCCAACTCATCACTGTCTATAACACAAAAACCTTCCAATCCAATGAAAAACTTGAAATCAGAAACCAAACACATCACATGAAAATGCTCCTTCAATTTGTCTTGAAATTTCCATCTTAATTTAAAATGAATAGCATGAGTAAAGGCCTTTTGAATCGAAACACTCTCAACCTCGACATTGGAGAAACGGCGGTTGTTCCATTCCCTCTAAAATGATAAATAGTGCAGCTAATCAGAAGGAAGCAATTTTTTTTCTCCAAAGCATTAAACTGATCCAAATTCTCCATAAATTCAAAGGTTTGGAAAATGTTTGGTCTGAGCATGAAAGAATCCAAAACATTGAGCAAAGCGGTGAGAACCGAATAAGAGAAATCACATTCAAAAATATATATATGAAAATAGGTTTTCGATGCACACTAACATAAAGAGCAAGATGTTGCCACCTGAATATCCCTTTTAATAAGTAAATCTGCACATTTTAACTTCCCAATCATAGCCATCCAAGTATAACAAGTGAATCTAAGCGAATAATTATTGCGCCAAATAAATTTAACCCAATGTGTCTCTTCCAAACAAGAAAAAAAGGAAGAAGTGAAATTCCTAAAAGTAGGATTGCAAGAGACATCGCAGGATAAAGTCGATTACCTTGCCCAAAATAGCCTCACGCACAAAAAGCGGCAAATTCTCAAGTAAAATTCACTTCCGTTATGAATGTATGCCTTGACTGATTTATGAGACAGTCTCATGGGAGTGCTTAATTCAGATATATGTTTACCATTGCACCAAGGATCCCAAAGCATGAAAAAGTTATAATAAGGATTCACCAATAAGGAGAGAGAGTTTTTGATGTTTTGGGCAATGGAACATATTACTTTACAGGATTTCGACGTATTGGAGATGGGAGGTTTCCAAAGTTATTCATATTTAGCTTTAAACCAAGCGGTTGTGGAAGAGTCAAGTTTAAGCATATGTCATATGAATGAACACGATATAACATGATATAAAGAATCAATGGATGGTATGCCCAGACCACCTAGAAATTTTGGTTTAGTAGTAGTTTTCTAAGCAATTAAATGATGCTTCCTTTCATTTATGTTACTATGAAATAAAAACATAGAGCATAATTTAGTAATGATCTTGTGACGTGCTTTAGGAATGATATAATACTTGATCTAATAGGCAATAGTGATGGCTATAGTGAATTTCAGAAATTGAACTCTACCCATAAAAGATAGAAATTTAACTTTCCAACCCTCATGTAGAGCTGAAATTCTGCTTAGTAGGGGTTGGAAGTGAGAAAAATTTAGCCGTTTGGATGAAATGTGAAGGCCCAAGTAAGTAAGAGAACAGTTCAGGTTAGAGATGCCCTGGGTATCGACTATGACTATAGCCTCCATAACATTCTTTGAAAATTTATAGAACTTTCATAAGGGTTATATGCAGCTCCGAGGCTGCTACAAAATGCTGGAGGGAGATCTTCAAGCAGTTGGCATTATGAATAAATCCTTCGCCAAATACAAGCAAATCATCTGCATACATCAGATGATTAATATAAATATTGTTAAAATTTGGACCTCTAAAAAAGTGATTGGACGTGGGATCTTGCAGGCATCAAGACAAGCAATCCATAACAATGTAGAAAAGCAGGGGATAGAGCGGGCATCCTTGATGAAGACCAAAGGTACACTTAAAGAACCCTTCCATTGAACCATTTAGGTAGATAGAAAAATGAACATTTGAAATGCAACTTTTTATCCATTTAATAAACAAGTCAGGAAAACTCTTTTGCCTTGAACGGTTAAGGAGGAAGTCATGGGATACATAGTCAAAAGCCTTCTTAATGTCCAGTTTCGCACAGAATTTTTTATTGTTAGCATTAAATTCTCTAAGAATCTCGAAGGTAAGGATAATATTATAAGTTGAACACTATTTATATATGAATCCAGCTTGGCTTTCATGGATGATGAAGGAAAGAATCATCTTCGGCCTATTAGCAAGCACTTTAGCAATAATTTTATAAAATGCCATGAATGATCTGGGATGAGGAGAAGGTAAGCAAGAAAGATTAACGAGAAGAGTCCCATTTGAGCCAAATCCTCCCGTGATTTGAGAAACTGAAGTTATTACAGCAACTATCATGATCATAAATCAAATGGGAGTTAAGAAACCAAGGGTTAGAAAACATAAATTACTGAATTTAAGTGCTAACCAAATCCTTGCAATGACTCACATTTTTCGGGCTACTAAATTCCCTCACATTCCAACAAGCAAAAGAAGGAAGGAATATTAATTTCTAGAGGATTTTGCCTTTTTAGCAGACTTGGCTTTTGAATGTTTAGTAGGTTTAGGGGATATTTCCTTTGAAGAAGTCTGCTTGATGGAAGTTGGAGCTGTTGCAACCCATGACCCCGAGTTTGAGATTTTGATGATGATAAATAATGTCGTTTGAATTATCTATTCATTGAATATTATTTTATTTGCTATTGTCCATGAGTACTAACATTTTAATAAGATCAAAAGCTACTCAGGACGACAGGAAGACTCAAGAATGGGTAGATTAGGAGTATGAGTATGCAATGTATTTTGTTGTTTATTTTTATTTTTATTTTCTTGAGTCTGGCCACAAAATGCATAAAAGTCTGAGCAACCATGCACACACACAGGGGGAGAGTGTTTTTAAATGAAAAATTTAGAGTTTTTCTTTCTCTGTAGATCGTACTGTACGATGTTATTTCGTACCGTACGATCAGAGCTTTGTAGGACGATTCTG